AGAACAGATCCCCTTTGGCCGCATGATCAGCCCACTGAAAGAATATTTTTTTTTATTGATTCTGCCACATAAAACTTTTAATTTTCTAAACCAGTCTGACTGAGGTCGTACAGACTGTATGTGAACAATCGAGGACTTGTGTTCTTGACACTTATTGTGGTCTTTAACCCGTAAATAACTACGTTTTTGTTCTCCCTTTGATCACACATGGGGAAAAAAGACAACATAACCGTTATAATTGATTTGCGGTGCAATATCGCGATAGAAGAGGTTTTTTTTTTTATTAAAGATACATTAGGGGAGATAAGATAAAGAGATGGCAGTTCTCGCTATAATAGTTAAAAACTAGATAGTGTAAAGGTAATTTGCTGGAAATTTCAGTCAAATTGATCCACTATGAGCCGAGAAAGAAGCGGGTGAAATTTCTGCATAGTCTCGGTCATCATTACTAAAATCATTAATATAAACAGCATAGTCTCGATTATCCACTTTTTCTGATTTAATTATCAATAGCCGTTAGCGGCATATAGGAATCTAATCCAGCCAACATCGAAGGCTGGCCTTGACATCGAGAGTTTATTATGGTCTGGATAAGTTAATTAATGTCTAATTGATAATTTAGATAACATTTCAGGCCTAAAGAAAGACTTGTAATAAGCAGATTTTGCTCTTACATAATGCATGTTTAACGTACATTATCTTTTAATACGGACAAATGGGGACTTTGTGTATGGTGAACACCAACAACCGAGTACACACACACTCACATCCGAGGATGTATATCAAAAATATAAATTGAGTGGGCTCAACACTCTATATTCGAGGACAGGCCCCCTTTGTCCACAGGAGTAGCTCATTGAAAGAATATTTTTTTAATTGATTCAACCACTGAAACTTCTAATTTCCGGAACCAATATAAGTGAGGTCTTACAGTCTGTATTTGAACAATCGATGACTCGCACACAATCGAATACATGGGAATCTGGATCTCTAATATGTAATTCCAAAATTTACATTGCGGCAGTAACATAATTCATCATCAGCATCACCATTAACATTATCATCGTCATTATCAGTTTGTAATGGTCTGAAAATGATTGGAGAAGTAAAAGAAAGGCTGGGGGCGTCGGGTGAGGGCACACGAGAAAATTATAATCTCTAGTTAACTCTATATTAATAATTAAGGAATTATTTGGTAAATGAGACCAGAAGGACAGTGAACTGAAACGGAGGGGAAACGGAGGGAAGACGGGAGAGCGCAGCGAGTGTAAATGGGGGAAATTTAAAGTCAATATCTTAAAATATAACCGTTTAAGATATTAACTTGAGCTTTTAAAGTACTAACATTTTCAAATTTCAACTTGAACTTAATCTTGTAAGATATTAACGTAAACTTTTAAGATATGAAAGATACATTCCCACGAAAGTATTTATAGGGTAGTTATTTCCAATAAAAGTATGGCAAATTTGGTATATGAACGTAGAGACGCACTGTCTTACTAGAAAAATATTGGATGGGGCAGGCACTGGACAAGAATGTCAGGGTATTACTTACTGTTAGTCCGACGGCTTATTGTCTGCCAGATTAACTTAGGAAGTTGTTATTATTTCTTAATCAAACAGTTAACTGGTATTTGGAACATTGAGTGGCTTAAACCATCATGATGAGATGGCAACGTTATATGTTTTATATTGATGTTCAAACGAACACGTCATGTGATCAGTTATTTGTGTATAAAACAAATGATAACCTCCATTGTTCAATAGTCTAATTGTGGGAAGTATCCTTGCGTTAAAAAGAAATAATTATTGGGGGGTTCTCGCTGTAAATAGTATGCATCAATTGTGTTTGGAAATAATGTGGTCGTTAATTTTAGATCTAAAGGTTTTAGCTATCAACTTCTTGTTGTGCTTTTAGTGTTTTCCTTCTTGCTCGTGATTGGTTATTCAAGATAAACGTGGCTTATGGGTCGATTATGTTCATGTATGAGGAAAAGTATAACAACATCAATGCAGAAACCGATATAAATATGTCTGCACATTTAGAAACAAAATTCATTATCGGCTTAAATCGATATTTGCATCCTCAACGGGGACACGGTGGCTAAGTGGGTAAGACGCTGGCTCGCTTGCCTGGAGGTCGTCGGGTATTCGATCCCTGCATTGGTCGAGAAAATTCAGCCAGATTTTCCGGCTTTATTCCCCCTTGTCCGTGATGCAGGACGGAGGGCCTGACAAGGACAGCTGTCTTGTCGTTCGGAGGTCCCGTGTACACATTGGCGTGCACGTGAAAGATCCCTTGTGACAGTTGGAATTCGATATAAGATCAGGAAGTAGTGCCCCTGCCCACGCAAAATTGCCCTCATAGCACACTGTATGGCGTATGCCCGTCTTCATTAGCACAGTTCGGAGCAGAGTAGGACGTTAAACCCTATTTCATTTCACCAAAATCCGGAATAAGACTTTATTCTGAGTTCAATTCAGATTAAACCCCCAGTGTGAACGCGCCTTTATACTCCACAACGTGGCAAAATTGTGGCAAAAATTATAACACATTTTTGCCACGTTTGAACAAAATTGCCGAACGAGGCATTCTGAGGTTTACAGTGTTAATTTAAACTTTTAAGAACTTAACTTTTTAAGATATTAAATTTTCTCCCGATGGGTCCCGATGTTTTTGCCCAAAGAAACGAAGTAGTCCCGTCAGAAATAGAACTTATTAAGCATCGGGAGTGGTCTGGTGAATGTGCACTGATGCTTAGGCTATGGTCACAAACTTCCGGGAATGCCCCGCCCCGAGCAATTGCCATGAATCATCGAGGATGGCTCCCAATAACCGGGAAAGCTCCGGGGTACCTTTGCCGATAATCAAAATCATCGGGTGAATATTCATGTCGGGAGATCTCAATCGGCGACACATATGCCAAGGTCCTACTGGGCATTTTTTTCATCGCCGATATACTACCGACTGAAATTGATGATCCCCCGAGGCGCCCGGTGTGAAGGGAAAGTCTCGGGGTCATCATGAGAAATGTTGAACCATTAGGAGGACTCAGGAGAACTGCAAAAAATTTCAAAGCTGGCATTGAAATTTCTTCCGATGTGTTCCCGACGTTTTGTCTGGAAAACAGGCCGGGAGGGCATGCCGGCAGCTTTCCATATCGACGGGGAAGCTCCGGAGATGCTTCCCTGGAGCAGTGAAGCTTCAGCGAAATATTTTGCTTCAAATATACTCAAAGGTCGCCTGATAAGTCAGCAAGACATCGCCGATGCTTCGGAGTAGTCGCGGGCCATATGAAACCATCGGGAAACCTGGGGATAACTGCGATAAATTTCAAAGCTAGTATTGAAAATTTGCCCGATGTTTACCCGACGGGGAAGCTCCGAGATTCTTCCTTGAAGAATACTTTTTCCCCGAGGCATCCCCGATTCAAATATCCTCAAAGGTCCTCTGATACATCAGCAAGACATCGCCGATGCTTCGGTCATGCCCCGGAGCATATTTCGCGGAAGCTCCAGGGAAGCATCCCCGGAATGTCCTTGTGAATCTGGAAAGCTCTGGGGATGCCTCCCGATCTATTTTCCTGACAATGAAAGCATTGAAACTTTTCGCAGTTCTTCCGTGACCTCTGTAGCACTATGGACCTTCTGTCAGACGTGGAGAGCGGGAGATCCTAATCGATCGCCACATCCTACGTACGACCCATGCATCTTTTCTTACTACATATCTTAGTAGCCTTGTTATCGTCTAGAATTTGCCTCTAGCTGTCTTTACTTCTGCTTCACGTTGTGTATTTACTTCTTACTGTTTTCTTAAGACGTTTGTCTTCTCAGTAGTTATAACAATGCAACTGTTCGTTTTTACATTTTATATATCAAGCTGGATACATATAAGCATTAGTATAGATTACAATACTAAAGTCAATCTCAAACCCTAGCCAGCCAGACTCGATATGGGCGAGTCTGCTGAATAGAAACTTCTACATCTTTTCACTTCTCGAACCAAGCTGCTGTCTAACGAATTCTCACAAATATGATAGTTTTGTAGCTTTTGGCTTTGGATGTAAATAATTACAGAGATTGGTCAAATAAGCCAAATGATGCAATCGTAAATTTCCTTCACATGTTTTTCGACACAATCTATCCTTGAACTTAAAACCCCTTTCCTGTTATTCTCACGCTAATTATTCACAAACAATTAATTTGCGTTTTAAATAAACTCATACCATAGCTACTATACTGACAATAGAGAATAATTTGTAAAGATAAAATATGTTGTTTAACCGATCTTATTTCTCTATTCCTTGTCTATAAATTTAAAAACAATGTCGCAACGATGATAGTGCTACACCTCCCGATGGGTCCACGTGGCTCGCGATGCCCAGGAGCTCCCCTAGGACACCTGAAAACCTGTTCCCGACGCCTTATATCTTTAGTACATCGGCAAGGCAAAAATTGCCCATTGGTACCTACGCATTATATAACACTACTTGAAATTGCGCGACTTATTAATATTTCAACTGTTGATTACTCATTATTTTATCTTTATGATTTCGGCAATAATCTTATATGTTACGCCAGGTAAAAATAAGTAATATAAGTTACGCCAGAAGTAATATAATGACTAGATGGCTAGATTTTTAATATCGTGCGGGTTTAAAACGGTTAAGTTTAGATATGGTATAAATAATAACTTATTTCTCCCACGTGACCATATATGATGTGTATGGTAGACATCGGTTAACTGAGAACTTGATACACTCCGTGTCCAATAAACACTCACTGCGGACTTGATACACATAATCATATTTTTCCCTTTTCAGATCACCCACACGAAAGATACACCCCAACTGTAGAATACCGCTTAACGCGGATCACCTCAGATCGACCTTAAAATCAAATGGTTAAGCGGTTAAACCCCATTCCACCCTAAGTACTAATGTTAACTAGTATTAAGCAGATTAAGCAAATGATTTTTATCATTGATTTTTATTTTTCAGATTACTACGTTATCCACGACTTCTGTTGACTGTGATTGTTCCATTGTCTTTGGTGATTATCATATTTATGTATAATAATGTTCTTCTCGGCACGTTAAACGTTCCATTTCCTCAGATAAAAGTGGGCTTTTATGGATCAAATGGCTTCAAGTCACAGGTCAAATATGTCTCATCTCAGCCAGATACAGACAAGAAAAGGCTTATTCTTTGGCTCAATCCACCTAATTATATTCGCCTATCTTCAACATATAATCCAAAACAGAATTGTCCCGAATTAAACTGTGAATATACGTGGGATCCTTCAAATTTTAATTTGAGTGATATTGTCATTGTTGATTCATTTAAATTACCAAGACGGCCGCCACAGAAGCTGCCATATCAAAAATGGATGTTCTACATGCAAGAAGCTCCTACTACTGGTCAAGTAAGTCCAATCTGGAGAGATAAATTTGATTTAACAGCTACCTATAAGAGAGATTCCGACGTTCCAACTCCGTATGGAATTATACGACCTCGAGCTGATAAATATGTCCACCAAAACCAAATGAATTATACATTCAATTTTAATGCAAAAAAACGTGCCGCTGTTTGGATAGTTAGCCACTGTAGAACATCAAGCAAGAGAGAACAGATCGTCTCCATGCTTCAACATTTTTTCCCTGTTGATATTTTAGGAGGATGTGGCAAAAGGGTTTGCAGTCGACATAATGACAAAAAATGTTTACGGAAAGTAATTGAAAAATATATGTTTTATATATCGTTTGAAAATAGTTTGTGTAGAGATTACGTCACAGAGAAGTTTTTTCGTTACTATAGTTACGATACTATACAGATAGTTCGAGGTGGTATTAATTATAGCGAAATAGCACCTGCAGGAACATTCATTGACTATTCAGATTTTAAATCGGTGAATAAATTGGCAAATCATTTAAATACTCTAGCAGATGACGAACAGAAGTATAGTGCTTATTTAAAGAGAAAAGCGGGATATCAGAGTTTGTACGAATTATACCAATATCATGCTTCATTCGGGTATTATACACATCCTCATTACTTACAGCAACCATTGTGTGATATCTGTAAGTTGACTTTAAATACGTCACAAACGTCGAAATATCCCGATATTACTAAATGGTTTTCTACTGACCAGTGTCGTAAACCAACAGATATTATTTAAATCTTTAAAAGGTGCTTTAGCTTATTGACATATTTTGTATATCGTTTAACAAGGAGTGGGAATATATCTGACGGCATCTTCACGAAGTCAAGATAAAACAGTACTACATCATATTTCGAGACGTAGCGCAGTGAAATTAATCAATGGATATCGTTGTTCATATAAGAGGTTACGAATAAAGATTACACCGTAACCACAGTGTTATGAATAAAGATTACTTCGTACCCACAGTGTTTACGAATAAATCTCGCAGATTTTATAGGTGGGGGAGGGATGGGGTACCGATTACTTCCGAGAAAATATTTTGTTGTTTCGGGTCACTTACGCTCATACACCAATTGAAGAGAGCACACTTATTAACGTGATCCTAAACAAGAAGAGGTTATTGCAGTATGCCGCAGGTACGGAATGAGAAAATTGTGCTTTCTTGAGTATATCCGGAGTAAAATTTACATCAAGTGGGCCGGAGATATACAAAAATTCTAAAAACAAAGCCAAACGTCCTTGAACTTTACTAAATTCTAAAAACAAATCCAAACGTCCTTGCCACAGGTAATATTTTATACCAGTTTCCAAATTGCCAAGATATAATATTGACCACAACGTTATCTTGTAGTACAGATATCTATGACATACAGTACCGAAGTCAGAGTTTTACTGAAACCGGAAAACAATAATAAATAATTTCCAGCGCTAGTTTCTAAGAATTATCGACACGTCAGTTTGTTGAAATTTGTTCCACTAGCCTTCCACTGACCACATTTAAACAATTGGCGAGACGGATCTGGCCCGCGGGCCGTGTGTTTGACACCTATGTTTTAGAACAACTAATTTTGAAAACGACCCAGTTACCGACTTGTATTGAATTCATTATCTTTATAACTAAACATATAAATGGGAGATAACCCAAGAGATATAAACATTGTATTGTTCGAACCATATGGATGATGTCGGGGGCAAAGTGGGATACGGGTCCAGGACACAATTTCCACATCTGGTTAGTCCTTGTTTTATCAGTCCTAGTAATCACCCCCCCCCCCCGCCTTCCCTCCATTCGACTCCAGTGTTACATCCGTGTTATTTCCAGGACTGTAACATTTGTTTGAACCCTCCGATGATTTTAATCTTTATAACTACACTGAAAAAAACTTGTGTTGAAACAACACAAACTTGTGTTATTTTCAACACATGTTAGGTGTCTCTATTTAACAACACAATCTTGTGTTAAATGTTGAAACAACACAAAACTTGTGTTGAAAATTGTGTGAAAATCTACACATTATATGTGTTGAAATTTCTGAAACTTGTGTTGAAATTTCTGAAACTTGTGTTGTTTCACACAAACTTGTGTATAACAAAAACTTGTGTTGTATTTTATCAATTTATATCCAGTATAGCAACCTTTCGAATGCAACCCCTTCCATTTGTTCTGTTTAAACTGGAATTATTGATAAATGACATAATAATTTTGTTTGTTAAATTATTATTTATTCAATAAATGATATGAAAATGCCAAATTAATACCAATACGGACATCTCGAAGGTTAATAAACAAAGTTAATTCCAATACTAATAAAATTGTGTTATACAATGAAAAAATATCTAAGCTATAAAATCAAAAGAATACTGGAAAAACTGAATGTTAATGTCATCTTTACCAGTGGTATGTCACTTAAAAACCTTATTAAAGCAGATGGGAGAATTGGTAACCAACGGCAAGATCCGAGAGATGTGATTTATAAGATTGGCTGTAGCTGTGATGCCTCGTACATTGGAGAAACTAAACGACCAATATCAGTTCGAGTAAATGAACACAGACCGGCAACTACAAATAAGAAAGGAGATAGGTCGGCAATAGCTCAGCACATTATGGACAACCCTAATCGTACCATAAAATGGCGAGACAAACAGATACTAGCTAGAAGCATCAAATCCAGCAAACAGCTACATGTTCGTGGAGCCATTGAAATCCATAGGGCACAACCCGACTATTAATAGAGACACTGGTCTGTTTATATCTAATGCTTGGGATGACCTGATAGTTTAAACACTGTGTGCGATGTGTCGTCGGAACTTTGCAATCATTAACGGCTTTTTGATAGTATACGTTAAGAATTTAATAGTGACTTCTAACGCTTAACATACCTAGTGATAAATTATAATATGGGTGTTTACTTTCTCCTGGGGTAATCTATATCTAGTAATTAAATAACACAAAGACATAAACACATAGGACTCTATCTAATATCATTTAGAGAAGTATGGCCTGTTATATGATTAAATACTTATAATTGTAAGTTGTATACCCCCATTAAGTTGGAAAGATGGACCGAAGGGGCTATCTCTAGTTTTTGTAACATATTAGTTTTTGTTATTACTGCCCATATCTAAATTAACAGTTATGAAGTTATGATTAGTAATAGTGGCATCATTAACATGTGTTATGGTCAAACCCTATTAAGGCTGGTCTTTGATCTTTAGCACTGATCTTTAGCACTGATTACCTGTTATTATCCTACTAAGGGTGAGATATTATTATCAATGTTTGCATTATATATTTTTATGGTGAAACCCTGTCACTATGGTCTTTGATCATTAGTACTGGTTACCTGTTATGATCCTACTAAGGTTCAGTTAGTTTCATTATTACTGTTTGTATTATGTATTGTTAGTTTAGGTGCTGCTAATGATGTTAATGGTTTCTTTTGTTTTTTGTAATTAAGCTGGTGTAAGTTTTAATATGTATAAATAGGCTGACTAGATGGATATTAACTTGAAAACGTGACCTGTATGTGTTACGAAACGTCGTTATTAAATAATAGAGAAGTAGTTACATCCATATATACCTTGTGTTGTGTTTTGTTATGAATAGTTAACCGTGCTTCTAGATGTCATTTAAAGATTTGATATTCAGACTTGTTACCACGAATTTACTCACCCCACCCTCGCATAGTTATGAATTTATTGTTTCACTAAAAGAAATATTTTGTAGGAATGTATGCTTTTATAGATTGAACACTTGTTTGCGATATCATTGTCGGTGGAAACTGGCAATATACCTAAAGAATGTTTTTGTAAATAAGTTTTTATTGTAGTATTCCCAATAAGCGTTAGAAACAAAGATATATACCCTTAATCCCGGTGCCGATAAATGTTGGGTTGTGTGGAACATGCTAACAAATCTCAGGTACGATAAATGTTTGATTCTGGTTGAGAACAGCATGAGAGCAACATGATTGTTTTCATTGGAGATGAGACGCAAATATTCAAAGGGGTCAGACAAACTCTAAACCAACCGCGTTCCCTTCACTGAATCCCTTCAAAGGAGGCCCTGTCTGTCTACCTGTGGAATAACATGCATTTGTATCTGTTAAATTTGTGTGGTAGACAGATTGATATTATTTATACATAGGCGGGGGTGATAACGTCTTACCTCAAACAAATCGCAAAAGAAACCATGAAGTTTCTGAGACCGATATTTCGTAATTAGTGTGTTTAATGGTGGGGGAATAAATATTTCTTTTTAAATTTTTCAAACACAAACTGGTCATAGAGGCGAAATGTGCCGAAAACCGAATTTGACAAAAATCAAAAAATGTATTTTTCACATGTATGGCGCCGGGCATTTCTTTCAAAATAACTGTTAAATTTAAAATAGCATTTTCCGACAAGACCAGCGATAATCTCGTAAGATATGACTTTTACTATGTCTTTTAAATGGTTTTCGACGTCTCTTCAAGGTCACCGTCTTATGCCGAAGTCGTGAAACGCACCGTCGGGGGATTTGTTGGGGCCTGTCTCCCCCAGACAATTTCTAGAAATTTCAAGTCGGTCTTGCCAGCCCGTGAATACGGCAACCTGAAAGTGGTCGATTTTAATGTAGACATCTGAACTTCAATCAACAAATCAATCAACCAGGCTGTTGTCGTTGCATTCACATGACACCAGACGTGTCCTGATGAAACAAATATGCCTGAAACAAATGTCGCTGTTAGTACGACCCATTGTGGCAGCATCGAACATGCAATACAGGTGACTTGACTTATATATTTATTTATTTTTCTTAAATTTAATTGTTATTGATTAGTAATAAAAACATGACGCGAGAGTTGAGTTGTATTTACACATTTAGGTAAGAAGCCAGATAAATGAACAATTAAAATTAATTACTTTGATCTAAAGCGTTATCTAACTATAAATATGATCCGAAAGTGAAAGATTATCATTCATCTTTTGGATTTACACCATGGCTGATCTTTGTATTCGTTATTTTAAACATATTTTATTGACAAATATCAAAAGGATTGAGCACATGTCAACATCCTGTGACATGTGACATTTGCGATCGTTGGCAGCATATTATTGATAGTAAATCGAATATATTTATTTATTTTTCTTAATCTATTTATAGTAAATCGAATATATATTAATTTTTTTTTAATTTATTGATAGTAAATCGAATTTTTTTTTCTGGAAAGTCAAATAAATTTTAAAGTGTTTCTAACGATAGTAAGTAGTAAGAAGTCTTTAATTTCATAAAATTGTACAGTCACGTGAATCACGTGACTTTTGAGCATATAAAGATGAAAAACCTGAAAAACTCGTGAGGTAAATCGATGCAAGTTTGCTTAAACTGAACACGCACACGTAACTTGAACTGGAAAAACAAATTAAAATTGTTATTTTCATCTTTGTTAGAAAATGTCGAGCCTTTCAAATGTAGAATGTCTACGTGCTATAGGTAGGTTCTATGCTGGTCAGTCTGTGGTCACTGTTGCAAGAGCCTTTAATTGTTCACGCCAGACAATAATTAATCTTAGAATGGGAGTGCTTCAAACTGGAACTATTGCCGACCGTCCAAGGGCGGGAGCGCCACGTGTGACATCACTCCAGGAAGATCAAGCAATACGATTACGTCATCTTAGAAACAGATTTGTCACTTCAACCTCCACAAGTAGAGAGATGTTTGGTGGAAGGGTAACTGCACAAACTGTTCGAAATCGCTTGCAGGCTGCTGGTCTTCGAGCTCGGAGGCCCTATAATGGACCAATATTGACACCTCTTCATCGCCGTAACCGACTTGTGTGGGCCACAAGACACGCAAGATTTTCTCAAAGACAGTGGAATTCGGTTGTCTTTAGTGACGAATCTCGATTCACTTTGAGATTTGCCGATGGCAGGGCCCGAGTGTACCGCAGACGAGGTGAACGTTACGCTCAAGTATGCGTCAGAGAAGTTGACCGATTTGGTGACGGCAGCGTCATGGTTTGGGGTTCTTTTTTTGCACATGGACGTTCTCCTCTTGTTGTTGTCCAAGGGAACTTAAATGCTGTCCAGTACAGGGATCAGATTTTGCAACCTGTTCTTCTTCCGTTTATGCAGAGACATGGGCCTGGACTAACGTTTCAACAAGACAATGCTCGACCCCATACAGCAATTGCTACCCAGAATTTTTTAAGAAATGCCGGTGTCCAAGTCCTGGATTGGCCGTCGCTTAGCCCCGACCTTAATCCTATTGAACACATCTGGGACGAACTGGGTCGACGTGTTCGTCAGCAAGTGAATCCACCACTGACGTTGCAGGACCTTCAACATGCTCTTGCTCAGCAGTGGCGACGTCTTCCTCGGGTAGTGTTTACTAATGTTCTGAGATCCATGAGAAGACGTTGTGTGGCAGTACGAGATGCTAGAGGAGGCCACAACCGTTACTAAACACTTTATTCCGATTGTTCTTCAAGTCTGTGAATTTCATTTTGGGGGGTACTGTGACATCACGAACGTTATCAATGTCAAGGACTTTCGGCGAGACGTATTCTTGCTTTCTATTGATGTCAAGGTCGACTGTGCACAACATAACACTAAAATAGTTGCCTTAAACCAAATATTAAAAATCTAGTCCCAAAAATCCCGAGTGTCAAGTTTTTAATTTGACTGAGTATATTTTTTAAATTTATTGATAGTAAATCGAATTTTAATTTATTGATAGTAAATTTAGAAATTGTAGAAAAACATATTGTAAAATAAACGCTAAGATATTTGAAGCCTGGGGGCAATACACTGATCGATCCATCACAACGAGTGTCTTTTTAAAACTAGCGGGTAACTTATATGGCCATAAATAGTTAATTTACTGAAATTTACTGAATTTTAGACACTTATTCGCTGAAATCTATGACATCCAACAATATAATAGGGCATATAAATAGATAATAAGTTTGCATGACGTCATATGAAATTCCTTGCTTCACAGTTGTCGCAACTTTATCTATACACGGCGTTGTGTCGACCAACCATGCAATGTGAAGTAGATGTCAATATGGTTATGTGTAAGAATATTCAGTTCAATATATTCACGGTGTATGATTTTATTCATAATTCAGTTATAGTGAGTTAATTCCGCAACGTTTTTAGAAAAAATTGCTATTAATTTGGCCAGTACTGTAATAGCAAGTGTATAAATATTTTTTGTACAGTCTGTACACAGTAACATATCCGAGAACCATACTAAACCTTGCTATGTTTTTGCGAGGTATTTAAAAGTCTTACCTTTTATTATCATTTCTGCCCATGGCTCCCTGTGCCTTATAGTTAGCAGTGATACAAGGCAATTACCAATTTTCCATGTTCTTGGCCTGAAGAAATAAAATAATAAAAGTCAAGTTTTTATTATTATGCAAGTGGAAAAATACAATTCTTCATGGTATGATTTGAATAAATACAACTCATTTGAAATTTGAATTATTATTTGTCTAAGATGACTGGGCATTTACAAATTGAAATAGCTACTCTTCATCAAGAAAATACATGAATATTTTTTCCCAATTCACCTGGATTTTATTGTAAGTCTTTTTACGTGAAATAGCTTTATTTAACGTCCGCTTCCACCGAAGTGATATTGCAGAAAATTAACAAATTCGGATTCCCTTTTAAAGGAATTAGACTGCACTATCGCTGGATTGTATTATATAGGTCATGTCAGTTTTTTTCAAAATGGCGCCCAGAACACAAAACAAACATTGCAATTCAGGGCGGACTGGTGTCGAGGCTGTATCCTAAGAATGATTTTTTGAATATTTAATCACACAGCAACACAATTATGCACATACAGTTATGATATAATATTAAATTAGCTTACCTCAAATATCTCGAAATATACTGTTTGGTCAGTTTGTCCGCCCGCCATATTTCTGTTAGTCACACATCCTTCGGCGAATTAAAATGGACGTATATTTTGTTTTAACCGAAACGAAAAATTTGCGTTATAAATATATTGTATTAAAAAATACCACCAGCAGCTGCCAGGCAGGATACGCCCACATTTTCGAGGGATGGATATTCATAGCGTATTCATTACCAGGATAATTCATTACCGGTAAAATCGGCGTATTCATGACCAGTATATTTATCACATTAAAAAACAACGTATTCAGTTGATGCGATTAATAATAGCCATAGTTTCGTATTCAACTTTGAACTGAGTACTGTGTTAACTAGATGTTATTTAAAATAAAAATTAAACAGGTTCGTAAATAACTGTGAACAGGGTATTGTGTTCATAATTTTTTTTCTTTTCTTTTAGTTTTATAGTTGAACGGATTTACAATACAATACAATACAATACAATACAATACAATACAATACAATACAATACTGTGAACAGGGTTATTGTGTTCATAAATGTGATACACTATTACTTTTTTTTTCTTTTCTTTTAGTTTTATAGTTGATACAACACACTTCACTACAAACAACACTACAATACACTTACGACGATGTTTCC